CCCTCTCTCTCGCTTTTAAAAACAGCCTCTCTGGCCTTTCCCAAAAACCGCAGCCTCTGCTTCCCTCGTCTGCAGGCCTTTTGAGGAAATAAGTGATCCTGTTTTTTGAAAAAGGAAAACTCTGCTGGAAATTAAACTTCACCTGCTTTGTGACTGCAAGAGAGAAAAAAAAGTAAACCAGTGTTACTGAAATTTGAAGATGTAAGCTTAAACTCTTAGATTAGGAACTATTTCATTACCTCTGCAAAGAAAAGCAGCAAATCTTATAAAAGCTGAAAGCAGAGAATGACGCAGTTAAAATCTAATGCAACTCTTTCTTAAAAGTAAGAGTCAAACATTTTCTGTTTTAAGAATCAAATGGGGAGAACTGCTGCTTTTCTACACTTTTGCACTCTACACTCACTTTTGACTGACTTTAACTATGTTAACTTAACGTCTGAAATCAGCTTCTTTTGCACAGAGCAAAAGAAAAATGTTAAAGTGGATCAAACTGAGGTTCTCATGCTGTAAAGCCAGATTTTCTGCAGAGTATTCCTTCATCAGTAATGAGAGAAGAGGGGGAAAAGAAGAGGAGCAGAGAGGGGAGAGAGGGGGAAGCAACAATCTAATAAGGGGCTTTGGGGGGTAATTTTGGTACAGTTGCCATTGACATTTATGAGTAGATTTACAAGTTAAGTGCATCATTATCCTCATCATCAGCTGATGTTTAGATTATCATATTGTAGGAACTAGAGCCTGAACGACGCTGGATTTTTTGGTGTGGATGCTTTGTTTTTTTTAAATTAAAAATTCAGTATATTGGTGTATATACACACACATTAATCAGCCACAACATTAGAACCACCTGCCTGAAGATCAAACAGCTTTGACACCACTGCATTGTACTGCAAAGAGAACTATGATCATGATTTTAGGATAAGTTATAACACCAAAGCTAAAGTGATGTGATGTGTGTCTGCTTCCAGTGAGTGGCAGTAATGGACCTAGAGGCTGCTGCGCACAACGAAGCCCGAAAAGCCAGCGGTGACTTAACGGCTGTCAACGTAAACGAAAATGAGATTTGACAAACTCCGCCAGGTGAAACTAACAAACTGTGCCACAACTGTTGAGTAATTCTCAGTGAATATAAGAGTGCGTCGTGCCTTGAAACGACCAGAAACCTCCAAAGAGTAAACGAAAATGAGGTGCAGAGCAAACAAAACAAACTGCGTTACAACTGTTATGAACAGTGATATAATACTGAATAGTTCCCGGTGACTATCAGTGTGTACAGTGGCTTGAAATAACCATCATTGGAACGAAAAATAAATAAAAGATCAGCTTTAACGTTGTGGCTGATGGGTGGAAATACAAACCTAGAGCATTTCAGATTGTTCTCATTATTTATCATGGTTAAAATTACTTTTGGAGGCAGATCGCCGATTGCCTGACCATGTTTCAAAGCTGCGATTCCTGCTCTGCTACATGTGCTGCTGACAGTGCTGAGTGTAATGTAAACCATGAGTCCAGTGTTTCTCACGCAGACATGGGCAAAATAACTTCCACAAATTTAAATGCTCTTATTTCCAAAGCCCACTCCCTTCCCACGCCATGT